ATAGTCGATGCTGTTAAGTTTGTCGTTGACATTGTTCGACAGACAGAGGAAACAGATGTTGAAGAGGTACTGTGCGGTTGTAACATTGCACGTTAAGAATGCCTTTAAGTCGTCAAGATGGAATGACTTGCATAAGGCACATCACCAAATTAATGTGCATACGTACTTGACTACTGTACGAAATAGATGATGGAAGGAAGGTACCGCCTGTACCGGTTCATCTTTATGGATCATAAGTTCTACTTTATGGATCATCTTATTGGGCCACCTACAGATAGGAAGAGGAATGGTGATAATTTCTAAGAGGAATGCCATCATCATATCGGCTGTCAGTGCTCAGGATTGCATGAGCGTTCCGCACCTTTTCAAATGAAGCAGGTTTTTAGCCGGAGTGACCCCAATAATATAATGTCTCGGGAACGCCAGAGCCGTTACGACAAACGGCAAAACGACGGGGTGCAAAACTGTTTGGAACAACAGCGATGGGACACTTCCTCCAAGGGAACGAGGACCTACCGACTGATACCTACTGTTGAATCTTGGATCAATGAAATGAACGATGGGGTAAATAATTTATTTAATTATTACACTACCTCACGCAGCTTCTGACGGGACATGGATGCTTCAGAGCCACCTTCACAAGTTCAAACTCGACGATATCCCGTAATGTCCTGTGTGCAAACCTTCTGTCGCGGTCGCCTGTCAGTGCCCACGTGTCAAAACTCAATGACGAGTCACCGTTGAGATGATTGGAATAGACCAAATAGCACCAGAATAATTAGTTGCATGTATGCGTTGGGGGGAGGGGTGTAATTTTGCACAAGTATTGCTGGAATTAAGACGCCTGTAAAAAAAGGAGAGAGATCTCACTATCCTACTCGACTGCTCGCTGCGTGATCTCCACTCGAAATTTTGCGACGACGACGATGTGACTGGGTCACTATTACTCTCTCTGCGATTTAATTGCCTATAGGCGGTTCAACGGGGCGGATGGAGGAGAAGGGAGGTTAGGTTTTGGCGAGAATAAATCTCACCCGCTGGGTAATACAGTCGTCGGAAGATTTCCACATACCCTCGTAAAAATAGGACAGACACAAACAAAAGTAAGTTAACAGGACCCAATAATAAAGTATTTTCTTGTCGAAAAATCGCTGATTTTCGTCGAAGTATTTATATAATAATTTATATATCTCTTCACTGCGTAAATGTAGTAAGGGGAGAAAGTAAAAACTTAATATTATCTAAAACACATTGCCAGGAAGAGTCCGTGAAGTCTTTTTATGTGTTACAAGAGTGTATGCCACCTAAAACCTGTTGCCTGTTAACATCAGAACTTGGCATCTCAGGCACAACGCAGCAGCGAGAAAAGCAATGGCGCCCAAAGAGTATATATCAGAGACGGCACTCAATGTTAAAAGGAAAATCCTTATTTGCCCAACTTCCGGTGCCGCCAACATTGTATCTGTATAATTTACTATTGGGTGAAAGAGGACAGCGGCAATAGCGAAGAAGTAACCGGTAAATTTGAAATAAAACCCAGCGAACGCGGGAACTTTTAAAATTTCTTCTCCTATACTTTTCCAGCCTTAATTTATTAAAAAATTACAATAATAATAATTATAAGGATTTTATGAAGAAAAAAAGTCAAATTAGGGTAGTAAAATTAGTTATTTATTGAAGCATATTTGATATGAATAATTTCGTATTTCATTAGTAGATATAACTTTGCATTACAGAAAGTATAACAGTACACCTGCATAATTGCAACTTTTAAAATATTTGCTTGTAGATATGCCAAATTAATATACTGGATACTACATTACAACAGACATGATGAATAAACAATAAAGCAGAATTGAAAAGAAACAATGAAAATACCTACCGCACATTTGCCCCAGGTAAAGAGAAATACTTTGATACAAGGGGTAAAAGCGCCATTTTATTTTTTGATCTGATTAAGGTCACATGAACTATTTTGTTTTCTTTGTTTGCTTCAAAGTTTTATCAGAACAATTTGAGCATTGTCGCCCGCTTTTAAGTAGTAGAGCAAAAAATTGAAGGCTTTTTAGGGGCCATCTTCTGCATGCCTTGAAGAACCACTTTTCTATTTGCAACGCTACAAATGTTTTCATTAGTCCAATAAATATTTGACATTATTTTATTTACCCATGCTAAATCTTCACACATTCACAGTTCAGAGCCTGGCTTTTTTTAAATGGGATCCACTGGAAGTACATTCACACTTTAAAACAATGATTAAAGCAACCAGTGGAATTCCATCAATGCTTATGCAATATGCAATTTAATAATAATTCTTGAATGGATTGTCAAAGTGCAACATTTGATCTGCACCAGGGCCAAGCCTGGACCTTCTGATAATGGGCAATGGTCCTAATACTGAGCTATAGAGATCAAGCATCTGCATTATGGACTCAAAATTCACATATCTAATAAGGGATCACCATTCAAATCCAGAATGTAACTGCATGACGATGAACCAAACACAAATGAATACGCACATACTAGATATAAAATTGAATCAAGATTGTGTTTTGTCATGAGAAAATATTATTGTCAGAACAGATATAATAAGCAATACATAAGCAACTTATATCACATTCTTAATAACTACATATAATATAAAGAAAGAAACAATTGCAGACTAGATAATAGCCATTAAATAATATTCTAAAATTGGCATTGAAAATAGCTTCTGAAAACAGAAACTCAAAACCTTTTTATTCAATATATTCCAAATCAAGTGTCTTAACATAGCAAGTAGGCATTCCAAATAATTGAGAAACATGATCATGCTTTACAGAATTAATTTTATCTTTAAATTTTATTTAATTAGAACTTTCCAAATCAGATGTGGGAAATCAGTTTATAAATGGATCTGTACCCAATGACAGAATACAACACTGATTTAAAACTCTCGTTGTTCATACCTTTATAACTGTCCAGCGTAAAAAGAAATATGTCAGAATACTTTGTGCACAATTGAAGCAAGTTAGTTACATGCAATATCACAATATTCTTTTGAAATCATTTCTCTCTGAGTTCTTGCTCCTCCAAAGTGAACATTAATTTAAAGCCACTTTAGGGTTCAAACTCGTCGGATCTATATGCATGATTCTAGAAGAGCCATCTCTGGAAGAGGATCTGAAAAGCAAAAGTTGATGTTAGAAGAATACTATGTCCTCAACTGAATGTTCTGAAAACAAATCTGTAGTCAAAAAGAAAGATCGTTTTCTTGTAATTCACCATTAGAATTACGAAATTAGACAGCACAGGAATTATCGTGCCATTCCACACACCCGAGGGCGCAGATCATCTCCAGAATGGCTTTCTTGCACCAGCAAGGTACAAGGATCTGTAATCACCAAAAGAAATAGTTTTCTTTTTATTTCTACTACATTTTGCCGCTCAATTGGCACTAATAACTGTATATTAAAGGAACATAACCATGATGAAACGTCCATAAAAACTTGAGGTGACACCTCACATTGGGTAAAAATATCTGAAAATGGAGACAAACTTTGGAAATCTATCCATCTTCAAAAAAGTGCACAAGGTAATAATAGAGATCTTAAAGATTATAAGCAAATATTTACCTTTCAGCAAGGCTAGAATAAGCAATCTGCCTGCACTTGATGTAGCAGCATGTTCAACGACACTAGAACCTGTATTAATCAACACAAACTTATTGCGCCAATACATATGCTTTTAATACGCTACTTCTTTTGCATTTTAACAAACATACAAGAGGACCTTACCATTTTCAGTTTGAAAAGCTGCCTGCGTACCAGGATCTGAAATTAAAAAAATCCTGGTATCATAGCCTCCCATCACAGCTATATATTCTATAAAACTATATTCTAGCTAATATTCTATTAAAAAAATACTTTACATTACACCCATAGCTGGAGTGGGTGATCAACTCTTTGTCCAAATAAGGATCTGCAACTGAACATGAACATTCAAACACATTCCACTATTTGTACGCACCCATCTCTTCTGAAGCCAAAATTGCACGCTCTCAGACTTCAAACAGCAGTAATCACTTCATTTCTCTAATCACTGAACTGCGTATTTGCGTTAAACAGCCCAACGAACAGGCACGTGAAATATACAACCATAGTCGACGTCGTCGACGTCGACGAGGAAGGAATCCAACGGCTAAACCAACCGGCTACGTTGCGAAAAAATTTCAAACTGAAAAAGTAGTTCACCGATTCTCCGCTTGAGCGAGTTGGTGTTGTACAGATGTAAATGGCGTCGCTCTGAACTCTGATTAGCTACTGGGCTACTGTATGGAATTTGAATAAGGACCGGATGTGCCCTATCTAGTGGCACCCCACTGATGGCGCCGAGTCCATCTGCTTTCTGCCTACGTGATGTCATTTCCACCTCCCTTGCGGATAAGGCGAAGGGACGAAACACAAGCTGGTCGGTAAGGTACTCGGATCGGCAGGTAGATCTTTCCATCTTAACACATTAGTGTATCCTCAGTGACCGTGCTGATTCACAACAATGTAACAATTATTTCGACAAGAATGAATGAGAGCGAAGATAATATAATTGCTTATTTTCCGAGTTTGACATGTCTTTAAAGATTTTAGGGGTTCACATACATTGCATTTAATGCTTTTTAAAATAATAAATTAAATTGAAATTATAATTTTAAAAGTTCCGGGAGCAGAACTTAATAGGGAAATATTTTGAATATAGTTTAGACCAACTGCATAAGACTGTAAAATGAAGTTATAAACCGAGTGTCGAGATTTAACTCTCGGGAATGGGTTACATGTTTAACTTAATTTAAAGGTTTGTATTGCAGAACAAGAGTTTAAAGACGAGAAGAATATATTGGAAAACATTTTGAGAAGTTCAAAGACAAATTGTATTTGAATTCATTTCTAATAAACCAAGGAATATTTATTATTATTATTATTATTATTATTATTATTATTATTATTATTATTATTATTATTATTTAGCCTACTAGTTCCGATAAGGAGCAAAAACCTCATACTGTAGTACAGTTACATTAGGTTGATATTTGTAAAATCATCTTTTTGGTGTTCGTACTCAAGCTGTCTCCATGTTGTACTCTCTTGAGCCAATCTCGTCCAGGTGGGTCCATCTGCCTTGCTTAGCTCGTCTGCCCATTTTCTTCTCTGCCTTCCTTGGTTCCTCCAATCATACCGATGGCTCCAAGTTGTTATACTGTACGCCCATCGCTTTTGGTCCTTTCTCAATTGGTGAATACTTATTTATAGTTATCGTATTTAATAGAATTGATCACCCTAAAAAAGCGAATCACAATTTTTGCCAACCGATATAGAATTAGTGTATCGGTTGCAAGACAATAATAAGATTGAATTTCGGGCGAGAGCCCCCTGTAGTGTTGTCGCGGTCAGTGTCTCGGACTAGAATGAACTATAAAACCGTGTTAGACCGTGGTTTCATTATCTGCCAAATTGTTGCTCGGGTATCACCATAGAGCATTGCAGCATTCAAATATTGTTCCATTACATCTGTAGAACTGGAGAGATCAATTTCAATTTATAAAAAATATCTTACATACAGGAGAACTACATTTTTCAGAAACAAATTTAGAAATATATCTTGTCAATATATTACTAATTCTTTAATAAATTTACCAGTCGAATGAAAAAATATAGTAATGTTAAATTTATTACTACAGCGCTCCAAATCGCAAATCGTTAGTTTTAAGAGCCTTTTCTTTTATATGAAGCAAAACCGTTAGAACGAAGCTGTAGACGCCCCGTCAACTTCGGTGCGAGCCAATTACAGTTTGCTTTATATCGGCCTCTCCCTCCAACTTAACCTGAGGCATACATATCTAAGCACGGTTTTAGATTAAGTTTCGAACCGACCTAAGTCATATGTACACTTTGGCCAGGAATGTGCAATGTACTTCTACCTTTCCTAGACTTGAATGTTAAAAATTATTCTAAATAAATAGGATGAAGCAGATGTTCGCACGACAAGTGTATGTTCAGGAGAAGAAATGTATTTAAAAATTTGCTTTTTTGCACTTCACGTGAGAATCAGATAAAAAACCTGATATTTCTTAATAAAGAAATTAATAAAGAAAAATTTCCTGTAACACATCACTGAATTTACAATGTATTTTCGGCATTTGCATGATAAAATACAATAGAACTGTGCAAAAACAAAACACTAAGTACGACTTTATACTTCTATAATTCGTTCACTTTTAACCTGCCGACGGTAAAATAGGAACTCCTGCTGTTTACATCACGTCACCGACTTCTACATCCTCGCGTCCCATGCACGCCTGTAGGTAGAGTTGGAAGAAACAATGGAACAAACAAGAATTTTTGTTTTGAAATCACGCCGCCTAATCCACAACATCCGATATTGTTTATTGTTAATAACTTTTTTTTTCACATTTTTTAGGTTTTGTACCAGCCGCTCCGTCGTAGTATAATTGCTTTACTGCCTAATTTACAATCAGAACATGCATGAAATGCGAGATTGTCGAGCGCCGATTACTTGATGAAAAAAGAGAGCGTCCCTATCAACGCCCAGCAAATATAAATATGAAAAAGTAATACTATTATTTATATAATATTATCTGGGTCGTGTGTGAACCTCGTAATGACCAAAGGCGTCTAATTGAAGCGTTCCCTCAATGAGGCAGCTCGCCGATACTCCTCTTAAAACCCACCGACCTCGCACCCAGGCTCCGGGCCAAAATTTCAAATTCCTCCAACTCCCTACTCAAAAAGTTACCTGAAAGGGCAACCGCTTAGTCCACGTCCGATTCTTAACCCTTACGTCCACAACCACATTCAAAATCTCGTTGGCATCTCCAAGGATTGTCCTTAATCCAACATTCCTCTCTCCATATCTTGATGATGACATTGACTCATTCCTCCAAGACGTCAACGATTATCTTTACGCAGGACGACTTGCTTACGGTGACAAAGTCTGGGAGAGACAAAGACTGGAGAGGCATGTGGATAGACTACAAACATACAGCCCAAAGCTTACAAGCAAGCGGCCAGTTGACAAACAATATTATTATCAGATCCTCAAAATGTTCAGGCAATGTTTTCTCACGTGCATAGTAGACGTACACATTAACAAACCACGCTATGATTTACCAACAATGACATTCCATGAAGAAAAATACGCTAAACTATTCGGACTGACTTTGAAAAAAAAAAACTACTGTGACCTAATTATGGGGCAACGGAAAAAAAATGGAAAAATACTTCACAGACTTCTAAAACATACTAATGCCACATTTTCATATAAAAAATCGCGATAAAAAGACAAAACTGACATCTAGGTATCTACAACACATCTCAACACACATCTGACAAGACTGCACGACACGTTGGTGACATCTAGCAAGACTATACATCTACAACACATGTCTGACATCTGACACGACTGACATCTACAGCAAGTATATCAAGGGAATAGTAATATATTTCTGCAAGATGTGGGAGACGATATTCCAGACTAACAACTCAGAACAATAAAATAGTTACACTTATCTTTAGACTGACCCTACCCAGACCAATGCAATTTGACAATCAAACAAGAAACGACATGAACATTTTAACGACCAAAGTTAATGTAGCGGTCTGTGGCGTCGTTAACACGAGGGCCAGAACCGTTACGTCGTTGAAAGTGCGCTGCGGGGGAGGAAGGGGTTGAGCCTGAACTTCCAGGATTTTGCGCTCTGGCAGTTGACGCAGACAGCGTGGCAGAGCCAAAATTAACCTTAGGTTGTAAACTCCTTGGAAGCTGGCTTGCCGACAGCAGGCGAGCCTACCTGGGAATCTTGTGTGGTGGGGGTGTAGCCCCCTCATAAGATGCTGGCTAGCGAGCCCTCGCTTGCCGACAGCAGGCGAGCCTATCTAGGGAATTTGTGAGGTGGGGGTGTAGCCCTAAACTATTTAACGCGGCGCCATCTACCCCCGCGTTCTCATTCAGTATGCATCGGAGAGCGTAGTACGCGTAGGTACAAGGAGCGTAGGAGTGTGTGCGAGAAGTCCGGAGTGTAAGGGCCAGACGATCTCGGGGGCTTTCTGCTCGCGGTCTGCCAGACGGCGACCGGTTTAAATTTTGACGTCAGGCCATGTGACGGTAATTGTCACGGGACGGAAGTCCGACAGCTCGCATCACGCGTGGCTTTTTTTCTGCGGTAAAGCAGAGTACTGGAAGGAGAAGGTTGCCGGAGTGTTTAAATTTAGCAATTTATAGTAACTAGTCTGTAACTTTTCAATACACTATTTCTGTTTTTGTTATTTGAATTTATTCTCATTTCACTACAACACAAGCCCAAAATAAAAGAGTAAAAGAAATAGCCACCCCCAGCTTAAAAAAAATTTGTCAAACCGCTCCTGTCCTTCTGAAACAAATTAACACACCACGATAGAAAAAGTACTCGCTCAATATTTTCACCTGTCCAATTCTATCCACAAACCCATAACAATAAGAAAGTAGCCACCCATAAATCTGAATCCTGGGCAAAGTTTCCACTGTCAAAAAAAGTTGCTGTAAGCAAACTCAATTCATTAAATATCTTTAATTAAATCGAGAGGAGCCGAACTGAATCTTTACATTCACTATGTTATATATGTACTTTAAGACAACACGGTGCAATTGTACGGGGGACTGTAATATTACATTATAAACTAATTTATTACTGCCACTGTTGGTCACTTTTTCAGTGTCATCACTTTTACGAGTTACAAGTTGCATTTGTAAAAGTGATAATTTTAAGCGTCTTCCCAATTTTTAATGGAACATCGAGATAGAACAAAGAGGGACGTCTATTACCCCTATTTTAACATATCATGATTACATCATCACTCTATTTTCTGAGCGGATGCAAAATAAAAAGAATTTAGCGAAGTTTTCAAATGTCTATCACGTCGCCGCCGCCTTCTTGTAGATTTTCTCCCTGAAGTAGCTCCAGAAATATCCTTCCTTCGCTATTAACGCGCGAGAAAGCCGAGTAGCGAGAGGCTACGCTATAATGTGCAAATTTTTCAAGTTCCGAAGCTGATGATTTAAAAAGGTAGAGATTATAATGCTGTGATGTCTACATGATTGTAGATAAATACGTGAGGACAGCAAAAATAAAGTAAAAAATGTGAGTGTTCCGAGCATTTTCCCAAAATGAAAAATCCATAGTCAATCTCGCCCAGCTCAATGTCTTATGATTAAAAAATTCTTTAATTTGATCTTTGAAGTATTTTTCATGGAATCACTGAAATTGTTTCTCATAAATAATATCAAATTTTTTCTTTAAACTTTTTGTACGGATAGTGCTGAATTCACTTAATAACACGTTAAAAACGCTATTGCGATGTTTTTTCTTAAAAAATTGTTCAAAAAT